TATATATATATATATATATATATATATATATATATATATATATATATATCTATATATATATATACTTATTTTTTAGTCGATATTCTTGAAGTTGCCTATGTGGCAAACTAGAGTCCGGAACCCAATTGTGATTCTTTTGGACTAAAAGTACATAAACAAGTGTAAAAAAAAAGGTTACCTTTCTATATATAACGTCAAAATACCCCGCTATACCTTAACGGTAACTTTTGCCGTTAAGGTATAGCGCTGGGTATTTTGGCGTTATATATACTGACGATTTGACTGACAGGTATAGCGTGAAGATTTTTGGCGCTATACCTATATTGCCAAAAATCAGTGTGCTATACCCCTAATTAAATAATCCCCTTCACCTTCTTCCCCGACCAGAACTACTCCCCCCATTTTTTTTACCGTCTTTGGTCACCCCCCCCCCAACCACCACCACCAGCCCTTCGTCTCTAAAAAAAAAATTTGCGGGCCCCTCCCGTCACACAAAACGCTAAGAACGTAGGTCCCACATCGTAGTAGAGCATCGTGTTATTGTGGTTTCACTCTTTCGGACTCATATTTTCAGCCAAATTACTTTTTGGATACACTAAATTGAGGTATTTCGATTTATTTTATGTCGAAACTTGCATAATAATGTATATTAGTTGATATTAATGTGTTTCCATGTCGTTTTGTGTTTTATTTGCGAAACTAGTATGTTATATTTATCCGTATTTAGCTATTAGTGTTTCCATGTCGTTTTGTGTTTTATTTGCGAAACTAGCATGTTATATGTATTTTTGTGAATGTTATGTGATTAAAATGTATTTATTGTTTATATTTAATTTAGATTATTTATTATTGTAGTAAAATGTAGAACCTTTTAGCGTAGTAAAATGTAGAGACTTTTAGCGTAGAATCCCTATAGTTTAAGTATCTCTTATACTGGTAGATGAAAATACAAACTTTGTACAATTAAATAATTAAAAATTGAGAATTTAAATTATAAAACAAACACACAAAATTATAAAAATAATGAATTTGACACGCATAATTATTAATGATAGTTTGGTGCTGCTGGGCCTCAAATATCGAGCCAGGAACCCATAGGAATACAAACTTTGTACAATTAAATAATTAAAAATTGATAATTTAAATTATAAGACAAACACACAAAATTATAAAAATATTAAATTTGACACACATAATTATTCATGATAGTTTGGTGCTAATGGGCCTCAAATATCGAGTCTGGAACCCATAGGAATACAAACTTTGTACAATTAAATAATTAAATATTGATAATTTAAATTATAAAACAAACACACAAAATTATAAAAATATTGAATTTGACACACGTAATTATTCATGATAGTTTGGTGCTACTAGGCCTCAAATAACGTCGATGTTTAACTTCGAGTAAAAAGCAACCCCTTGCGGAGTGACGGAATACGGATATCTTCCTGTTACTTTAAGTATCACTGAACGTTTCCTCACACTCATTTTTTTGCATAACAACGATATCAATTTATCGTACTCCATTGTAAGTGGTACTTTAACATGACACTGTGGAGATAAACTGTACCTCACAGAGTTATTCTCCATCACAATCTCCCCCCCAATATAATGAAACTTTTATTCTACGCTCTTCAGACATTATGAAAAATTGCTTGAGAATTTAACAAGAAGAAAAGTTTGAACGTGTCACAACCCGAATTTCCCACCATCGGGAGTCGTGATGGCGCATACTGTCGGAGCTAGGCAAGCCACCCCTTTTTAAACATTTTCAGATTACACCTCAACAAGAACAATATAAATATAACGAGTCATTTAAATAAAAGCGGAAGTCTTTAAAACATAGATAACTGATAACCCAAAATACGGAAGTCTAACATTTCTCTACCCAAGACTGGTGTCTCTAGCTCACGAACTACTAAAGAGTGCTACAAACAAGTCTGACCAGAAATACATAAATGTCTGTCTCGGTATAATGAAAACAAACTGAAAACATAGAAAGGGACTCCGGCGTGCGAACGCCAGCTAGGCTACCTCGTAAGTCCCCGGACTGAAGTCAGCTCCCGATCAATATCCTACTGTTGTGGTCCAAAAGCTGCTCCGGTACCGTGATCTGTGCAAAAGAGCACAGAAGTGTAGCATCAACACAACCGACCCCATGTGCTGGTAAGTGCCTGGCCTAACTCCGGCGAAGTAGTGACGAGGCTAGACACGACTACCAAATCAACCTGTGCAGTTCAATGTTTATATATACAATACAAGGAAAGAATACAGAAATTAAATAGTTAAGAGGGAGGGAAGCATACTATGGGGGAGTACAGTCCGGATATAAAGTCAACAATTTAAGTAAGAAACAGGGTAATAACAATAATTAATGAGAACAGGAAAATCAACAGTTGCACGGCATCAACCTTCGTGCTTTTACTCTCATTCTCACCAAAAGCAATCAAATAAAGTGCACGGCATCACCCTTCATGCTTTCCCTCACATAACTCTCATACATGACACGGAATGATCCTTCGTGCATTTATAACCAAATCAGAACACGGAATGTCACTTCGTGCATAAATAATCAAAGCATGGCACGGAATGACCCTTCGTGCAAATATAATCAAAGCAAGGCACGGAATGACCCTTCGTGCAAATATAATCAAAGCAAGGCACGAAATGACCCTTCGTGCATTATCACTCTTCCTCACCCAAACAGTAATCACAACCAAACGGGGCGAGGGGATAAACAAATAATAAGAAATATCCCGGCAAGGGAATTACACAATTATCAGCTAAATCCCAGCAAGGGAGCAACAACAATACTCTCACATCCCGGCAAGGGAGATAATTAAAGTACTCAAACCATCCCGGCAAGGGATTAATCATATCACTTTCTATTTCTTTCATTTCTTACTCAATAATCTTTTTATCATTCGAGCCAACGCTCCAAAGAATTTACAATTCATAATTAGTCCTCATACTCTTCACATTGCATAGAATTCATCAATTAACATGGAAGAGTCATAACAATATCAGGATAAGTACATACAAGGACCCACGGTCATGCTAGACACAGGTGTATAGATACTCGTCACCATGCCTATACACCGTACTCGATTCATTTAGCAATTAGCAAATAATAACACTCTAATCCTATTCCCTTAAGCCAAAGTTAGATCAAACACTTACCTCGGTCCAAAGAATAGCAATCAATCCTCAAATACCGCCTTTCATCTACAATCCGACTCTGAAACAATGATATCTAGGCATAATTAATTCAATAATATCAATAAAGACTCAATGGTAACATCCCATAACCTAGATA